GCTTAATTGTGTTGGACTGAAAGTGAAATGAAGTGTTTGGAAATTTAATACGCAGTGACCGAAGATTCGACCGATTGCCTTCGATTGTAAGTAGTAAACGACTGATTGTAGAACTTAAGAAATGTTTCAGAAAAGAAGCGTTTCGTCAAAAAATGCTTCTTACCTCGTCTTTTTCGTTTGCAGTCCTCCCACTCTTTCTTGTCCCTCTCGGCATCTTCTTCTTGTTTTCGTTTTCTCTCGAAATCCTCGATTAATCTGCACAAATCTGGCTTCTTTAGCTCATTTATCATGGTTTTCAGGATGTCTATCCCCAAATTATTATGTCGCTCTAGTTCTGTGAACAATGCATTAACATTTATGATGTTTCCATCTCTTTCTCTTTCATGGGTTATTAGATTTTGTCTTCTGCAGATTGAAATGAGCTGTTGTAGTTCATTGGACTCGTCGAGTGCACGACCTATCTGCTCTAATAACTGTTTGTAGTCCTTTCTCTGGATTTCGAATTTTTCCACTTTCCGTTTAAGATCGTATTTTTCTATTCCTTTTAACAGATCCTTCTATACACCAAGACGATCAATCCCTAGAAGATTCTTCTCTTCCATCTTGGTAAGCAACGAAATAACGTCTGTGATATCGTCTCCGGAGTCATCAGGAGACATCTGATGATAAACATTAATCGTCCGCGTTTCGTTTCCCAATCGATTTCTTCGCTAATCTGATACAGCAAATTAGATTACTCGACAAAAGACATAACTGTAGGTAGGTTGGAATCGACTAAGTCGAGAAAAAATCAGTGATCAGGAAAATGCTGTTCGACTCAACTTGAAGGATTCCTGTTGTTGATATAGCTCACGCATAGTGCACGGTTATGCAAATTGATTCGAAAGTAGCACAATCCCGGATGTGTCCACCACAACTTAACTTAGGGATCTAGAGGTCAGTATGATTCGTTATAATTATTTCAGATCCTTAAGTGCCGATATATTTCGGCTGACAGTGGGAGTTTACTGATGCGGAGTTCTGGGTGTTAGATTTACTTTCTTTTTTATTATGTGTACTTAGGTAAACCCTTTCGACAAAGCTGATCGCAGTAGTACAAAGCACGAGTGCAAATTGTGAACCTTAGAATAACGTGTATGTAGCTAGCTCCCGTAGAAAGCCCGCAGACTCCGTCGTAAACCATCGGAGTGTTTTTTTATCCCACGCTCGAGACGAGACATAAAACATCATTTTTGATCGACTACTACATTGACAAGTTCACCAAAAATTTCAAACAAACGTATAGCAGCGGCGACCCTTCACAATCTCGGATGTTCTTGTCATCGCCAGGGACATTTAAAAAAAGTAGTCGAGTACTGTGAACTTTCTCTAAGCCCTATAAAAGAAGTCGGAAACAATCACGCAGATGGAGCCGTCATCAACAATCTTGGTAGCGTGTAATGTGGTTTGGAACAATTCAGAAAAGACCGAGGTATGCGTGAACCTACGGCTGCACATTTGAGGAAGTTTTTGATTTATTCATCGCTTTTATCGCTGATCTGCTGAAAACTGAAGTGTCAAAGAAACTCCACATTTGCCTTGGTGCACATTGCAGCGCATGTTGAAATGGGAACAGGACAACTCATCTTACCACCTGAAGAGGTTAACTGTTGTTAAAAATAGCGGATGTGTCACAAGCTCAACTGCGAGCAAGACTGGTTGTGCTGAGCTGCTGTCCCCCAATCAGGGCCGAGGGGATGGTTGGCATTGCACGGGCGTTTTTGGGCGCCAGTTCTCGATCTGTGGTGATGTCTTTGTAGGCTATTAAGGATGAGGCTACACTGAACTATTTCTACACAGAACTAGTCAGGGGCAAGGGCGCCATCGAAGCTCTCAACTGAGTCATGGATTATATGCGAGACTCTAAAGAGTTTAACAAAGTGAACCGCTGGGCACCATTCATACCTATTGACGATGATGTCATTCCACAGTGCAACTGAAACCGGCGAATTCTTAATTTGGTAAGTAACGTTCAAAATCGTTGAGAATTAAAACCGAATGAGACCACACAAATAGAACACGTAGGTTTTAGCGCATTTTCGGGTGCTTTTTAATATTCACTATTCGTGGGTGCTTTATAGTAAAACAATACAAGTCTGTTCTTCCAAGAAACTCTTCCACAACGGGATAAAATGATAGTTACTATGTGGCAATGGTAATTTTTGATCAGATCAATTTTAAATTCTGTTTTTCTGCATTTTGAATTCTGTTCTGCCATCTCCTTTGCATTACAACATGGTCTCCTCGAAAGAAAAAAGTATCGTCTCAATCCAAACTCGGCCATATAAGTTTTTTTCGTGTTTTTCTAGACCAATCATATCACAGGAAATTATATAGACAAAACTGTCTATGGCCCGGAGGCCGAAAGGGGACAATCAAAAAATAATTTTATATTTGCAAAAATAATTTGGCGAGGGTACGTTCGAGTACGCTCGAATTGTAAGTTAAACCGGTGAACGGGGGATTTATTATTCCACTATCATTAATAAGTTTTAAATACTCAAGACAATCGAACTTTTGATTGCTTATTCTTCGACGAAAATTCGTAAGTTCCATGCTTTTTTCACTTGAACCGAAAGGTAACTGGTGTGATAAGGCATACTAAGTGCATGTTTAAAAGCTTTTCAATAAGGATTTATAAAATCAAATAAAATTCCCAATTTTTTTATGTTTTTATTTTAAAAACATTTTGGGATTACACCTTATCGGGTCGATGCAATCAATGATAGAATCAATAAAAAAGTCGATACTATCACTTACGATTGACAATTTTCGGTAGCGATTACTACTTATTACAACCGATCGGTGACAAAACTGGTAATTGTCATTGTTGCGATTGCTGTATTTGAAAAATATTACAAGCGATGAAGTGCGTGGTTTCAGCCTTATTTCAAACCATAAAAACACTAAGCGGTAGTTTGACAAATATAATGCATTGAATGAATTGTCATGTTCATATTCAACCTTCGTGTACCTAAACGAATTTCATTGGCCGATAAGAGTTAATTTTTTTTTAACTGAACTACAAAGCACAATTTTCATTTGTTGAAGATTTTCCCTCAACTGTACTTTCATTTCGTGAATCTTTGTTATGACTGACAAACGATTGCTCTGCGCTCGCCCGCTTTTCTATTTATCAATCACTAAATCGACATGGAGAAAATTTGTAAATAATCTCTTACTCACAGCCTGCGCTTGCATACCCTTTATTTTAGTGTAGTAATGGCCGGAAGTGGAAGGTAATAATTTTGATTTTATGTCTACCGTGTCCCATTTGCCGCTGCACCAATTTTTTTCAAAATTTATCCATTATTCAAAGAAGGGTTCCCGATTCAAATTTAAAAACGACTTCGGAAACTCCTCTGGTTCGTGAACACTTAAACCTCTTGTCGGCTGAAAAATTATTACAGCCTGATCTCCCCATTCCGCATTCAGCGTTCCAATTTCATATGGCAACAGCGTTTATTTGTATCACTAGCACTCTATCCATTCTTGGTGGAATTACTGATCTCGTCAAGTCATTGTTATGTGTCAAAGGAAAATATAATATGAGGTAGTCATGAATAAATTATTAGATATATGACATAGATTTAAAAAAGGAAATGTTTAAAAACATAAATTGATTTCGCAGGATTACGAGTCTTTGCATTTAAACGCAAAAGTAGACAAATAAAATGGGAAAAAAAGTGCGCCGCTATTTAGACGGCAATTGTGAAGCGAACTTCTATTTAAGCTCGACGTTTACAGCAAAAACGGAAACTCTGCTTTCGCCCGCGCCGCTTTTCTACTGATCAACCATTAAATCGACATTGAAGAATAATAATGAATAATCCCTCTCTCTCACAGCTTGTGCACTCCTTCACTTTAGTGTAATAATTTGAGGTAATAGTTTGGATTTTAATTCTGCTGTATTCCAGTTGCTGTGATCATTTCAGCCTCTTTAATAACTTTCATTTTGGACGCAGTGTTAGAGATTATTTTAGAGACGTACAAGGTTTATTTAAAATGATATTAAAACACTTCGAAATAATTATCCTTCCCAAACGTTTCATTAACAACTTACAAAGCTATGTAAATTAGTACGGTTTTATGGCGTTTGGAGCGGGAAGTTTGTCGTAGAAGGCGAAATTTAAATTTCACATTTTGAACAGAACTGCCAACTAAAAAATAATGGTAGTGTTGACAGTAATGATAATTTTCATTGTTATTATAATCATTATTATTCTTGCAATAATAAGTCAAGGGTAGCCTTTACGTTTGTTCCTATGAAATGGGCTACAAGCAAAGTTCCAGAACAAATGGATTAAACAGGATCGAAGCGTGCATGAATATGGCGTATCTTTGTTTTGAAAGCCTCGGGTATGTTTTTAACCTGTGGCAGTTTCCATATTTGGTCAAATCACCTGCAGTCATTCTTATGCTTTCTTGGTTTTTAAAGAACGTACACAATAGTTTGAGCGTGAATTGAAAACAAAACTTTCTTTGAAAAAAAAAATCGAATGGCCATTGACAATTCACAACCTTACATTGGAGCCCAGAGCTTTCGCGAACTCCTCACATCCACCTGATGTTTTTTGTTAGCACCTGAATCCGTTTCTTTTTCAAACAGGAGGAATATTAATTGGTTATTTACCCCTTTTCCTCGAATTTATTCGATTATTGAACTCTCAAATGTCTTGGCACGAAAACAAATATGTGACAAACATCATTGACCGCCGCTGAAAAACAACAGATAATAATACGTTCCTGAACGATTCAGATGCTCACTCATTCAGGCTGGCAGTGATACGTCCGCATCAGAGAAAAGAGAAATTTCTTTTTTCTCTATTGACGGAGAAGAATCATAAGGAAGAGCATTTCATTTACATTTGTTAAAGACAGCCAGGATAGGTTGAGATCTAGCAAACAGTGTTTTGCTGCATGTGGCGCTTACACCTGGAGTTGTCAATGAGGAAACTCTGCTCGTGGCTATTTTATTCAAAGAGTGTGTCTATTATCGTTAGCTAAAAGACTCTTCCGCTCGCTGTTCTTTGGAGATTAGGCGTACTGGCGAACCTCATCATGTTGTGATTTCTGAAAGTGAAGGTTGGTCGACTTGATGTTATACCTAAAACGATTTTAGATGTTAAAGCATTGTTTTTAGGAGAGATAAATTTTACGAACGTAAATATTGTACGAGACTTGAGAGAATAAAGGATATGACAGAAAAAACGAATTATCAGACGAACGACATAAAAATAACAATAAAGAGAAGTAGCTTATCGACGTTGATATAGGAAAAATTTAAGAGCTGTGAGTTCAACATATCAACTTTATTGGTGCGAAAGCGAAGCGCCGAACGACGCTGCGATAACATGATTTTTGAGCTGTGTTCGATGCTGAAAGACAACGGACCGACGCGATGCGAAACGCAACCAAACGCTTGTAGTGCTAAACTACGACAACAGAGTCTGTAGCTTACTTTCGATTCATTTAGTTGTAACCATGAACGAAGTTTGCGACATTTGTTTTACAATACTGTTTTAATTAATACTTAGCGTCACTGAAAACTCGCTCGCTCCGCCGATATTCACGATCACAGTGCATTTTAAGTAAAAACGTACATGTGCTCTGCCCTTAGTTTTCAAAAAAGGGAAAATTTCCGCTTATAGTGATTTTTACACTCCCTACCGACATGTATTTTAAAGGAAAGTTTTAAATTCGTTCCTGACCTTTCATATCTGATCGAACCATGATTTCCTCTCTGCGGCAATGTTTTTATTATCCAAATCTATCTTGAAAGCGGAAATTCAAAACCCGTATGTAGCCTGGAGAAAAACAAATGATTACAGTAAAATTTAGCGATAATTTCTCGGTCAAATGTATCCTATCATCGGTAAAATAACATGCCTGCGGAACTTGTGAGCGGAATCAACAATGGGCAATTCCCGGCAAACGCCATATTCAGTTTTAATAACTGGTTTTTGGAACATACTTTCTCGGCGTAATTTACATATCGTCGCTAAGGAGTGAATTTTACATCGATAGAAATATTGCATTCATTTTAACTACTATAGAGGTTTCCCTCCTCTTTGAGTCATGTATCGTCGAGATTTAATCTTTATCCTCCAAAAACTAACATTAAATGTAGATCTGCATGTAGCGAAGTTCATAAATTTTCACGAATGAACGGCGAAATATTTTCTGGATCTAACCAACTCATTTGTCTTCAGAACGTGTTTTCTACACTCTTGCGTCTAGCTAGAGATTTTGAGTAACATCTTTTATTCAACCTTCTCAAGCGTTCAATCATTTTCTCTCTAAATAGATGGATACAGAACGAACTGAAAAGTAAGACATCTTGGTTACTCGCGTTATGAGAAATACACATTTCTTACCGCTCTGAACGATTTGTAACAAATATTCACCTTCATTTTAGGCCTCTATGATCCATATTCGATTCTATAACCAGATTTCTCAGGAAAGTAGGGCATTGTAAATGCCAATATTGTGACCAATTCAGGAGTACATATGACTTTAAGCGTATTAGAAGATAAAGATTGAATTTGTTCTCCGCAAACATAGCATTACTGAAAAAGCAAACACAGATAATACCATTACAATAGTGACGAACACGCAGCAGGCTTTTTCATTATTAGGAATAGAAGAAAAGAGAAAAAAAATCAAACTCATTGATAAACACACTACGCCAGAACTGGAGGTTTGGCGAGCTTGCCTAACTTAGCTCAGTAGACCGGATAGAAAAGAATCGTCATCAATACTAGAGTATAACATATGACAGAAAAATTGTCCGTTGTCAGCTTATTTTTCACATTTTCATCCAGCTGGTACGGAGCAATTTTACTGAGTAGTGCGTGACTGCATCAGTTTTGCGTTGCTCCATTCACTGTTTTTTCTTAAATCACTGCCTGTTGTAGTTAAGAGTGCTTGATCAGGTTGCTAAGTCGTTTTCAAAATGGCGGCGTCCATAGACGAATTCAGTATTAAATTTGATAACAGTTTTTAAAAGTTTTGATCAATCTTTAGAATCTTAAAAAGCGGTCTTGGGCATGGTTTTTTTTTATTAACTTTTAAAAGTACAGATTGCCTGTGATTAGGCCTTATTATCAGCATTGCGAATGGGAGTTTCTAGTCCGCGAGTACTTTCAGGTTTGACGCCTTGAGCGAAGCGACCCTGCAAGAGCTCTACGAGGAATCTGGCACAAATTATCAGTGCCAGACTTCTCGCACACTAGCATTGCTCAAAGTTGAAAAATAATTCGCACGCGAACTGATCAGCGCGATTCTATTGATCTGAGCTTTCCGTGTCTTCCAAACTTCCGATTGACTTAATTGTACTAACTCGGTGTATGATTAGTGAACGGCAGAGCGAAAACAGCGGGAGACTTTGGTCTGATTGTGTATAAGAGGGAAATTTGGGTCTAATCGCGTTATCCAGGCCTCCTCCCTTTTCGTGACACAACCTAAGCCTCACTCTTTATCCGCTCTGCTGCTTGTATCGCGTAGTTTCCTATTCCGCTCTATTTTACCACTGAAAGCCAAGGACAGGCTAAGGGTTTGAGGCTCGATTCCACATGTGTACTCTTAATTTTATCTTGGTCCCATGCTCTCAATAAGACGAAACAAACATTTTTGCGTATGATCTCTTGTTTGCATCTAATGACTTTTCTCTCTCCCCAGCATTGGCATGGACAATAAAACTACTTCTTTGCCGACAACGGCGGCGCAAGGTGACAAAATTAATTATCTTACTGACTCGAAACACTTTCCTCATACTATAATGAGCAGAGGGCTTTATCATCTTATTAAAACATTTGGACATACAGTCTGATTGGCTCCGCTGCTCGCTATCTATTCCGTAAGAGGCAGTTGGTAAAGCGAATTGTCCAACAATGTGTGGTTATAAATCAAATGAGAGAAATACAAGAGACTGTCTTTTGTTACGTTGTAAAATACTAGTATGTGTACAACGTTTAGACAATTTGACAATCCGCTATACGTGATAGTTCATTTTGCCAACTACCACGCGATAGAAATATCGAGTTCACAATCTGTTTGCTAATATCTTTCAGTGAAATAGAGCATTCTTATAAAGGTATTAGATTTAACTATCAGTCTACATATGAATGCAGTTATACTTATAATGGTGTTTTTTCAGAAAGTTCGCTAAAAGAACCGAAAATAATTCTCTATTCACTCCTTCAAAAACACGCCACTTTCGTTACCCTGAATGCATATGAAATCCTGTTACATATTTTCTTGGTTATGTTTTTTTGTAAGTTTTTTGTAAACATCAAAACAGCAATCCTTGCACGACTAGAGAGCTTCCAACATATACTGCTGCGTAATCTTTATCTTTGATTTCAGCCGCTTTCAAAACCGTTCCGACTATACCCTGCTGAACAACCGTGATAACTTTGAAGTTTAGGACACAAATCATTTCTTTTTCAAATTAATGTTTTATTCCTTTTAGAGAAAGAAATTCCCTTTTGGATGGTAGTTGTATGGTGTGTGGCTGGTTTCCTCGCAGTTACTATGATCATAGTGGGTATTTACTATAGCTACTTTGTTTGCTGCCAAACTCGGAAGAAGCGTAAGAATAAAAGGTATGAAGATCAAGGCAACCTGTATGTACTAAAGCTTTGATCAAATGTGGGGAAATCACAAAAACGTTTTTCCAAAATCACAACATGTTGAGCGTTGCACCATTGATAAAAGGTTCCAATTTCGTTTTCGAATTCCTTTTAGAATTAATTTCATTCAAAACTGCACCATCAAAACACAATTATTAAAAAGGGAAGGCTATCAAATTAGAATCTTTTTTCTCTTTTCTAGAGCTTTCGGATCTGTTATAAGATTTAAAAAGATATTGCATGTAATATTAATTTCTTTGTTAAAAAAAAACCTGTGATATTTAAAACGGAGTCTGGCTATTAAATTCAAGATAATTTTCCAAATTAATACCTGTTAACCTACTTGACAGGAGGAAGAGGCGGAAAGAGAGCATGTAATGGCTCATATAACTTATACAACTTTAATTACACTGTAGTTAAAAAAAAAGAAAAAGACAGCGTGAAGTAGCATCTTCTTTTTTTTCCTAATTTTGTCTCATTTTGTAATTCCAGACCACATGCAAAGCACCAAAATTTGAGACACCCAGTGGATGTATATCCCAGAGCATTCATCGAACAACTGCATGACAGTGAAACCAACTCTAGAGCCATGTTCTCGCCGTCATTCGTGGATAATATGAGAATTCCCCGTGCAATGGAGGTTAAAATTATAGAATCGGTGAACAGTATAAACAACACTCATCCCCTTCCTCAGCTCAACTCACCATGTCTTTCACCCAAACGCAGTAACAGTAAGGAGCATTTAAGTCCAGAGATGTTTTCCCTTCCCAAGGGAAGGATGCCGCCATCGAGACAACAGTCTTTTAGATATTCGAACATGACCACTGAAGAGTCCAACGAGAGAATTTACAGAGAGAAGATGCTAGTATCTGAGTTAAGGGAGAAACTTCGTCATCAAAATATGATTGATGAGTAAGGAACCAGCGAATGTTAAACGAGGCGATGACAATCGCAGCACGATTACAATCCATGGACGAGAGAAATTAAAGAGAGAGGCTACTGTATTTGGGTGGAGGAAGTAGCGATTTAATTCAAAAGAGAATATGGAGGAAGACCCGATGAGCAATCCAAGATAAGTAATGCAATGAAATAAGAGCGACTTGCAGGAAAGAGATCAACACCTTGGGTTTAGGTCAAATGAAACCATCAGTCAAGGACAAAGCTATGAATTTCTAATATGAGGGTCGTATGAGATTTAAGGGATCGGAAAAAACAAACAATTATTAAAAAAATGAAGGATAAACATAGGTAACTATATCGTATCGACATTGAGAGGACTGATGGGTCAATAACCGTCATTTGCCACCGGCATGTAAATGACGTGCGAAACTAGCCTCCGACGCCGAAAATCTAGAAACCGGGTAAAGCATGAACTCCGAAGCTGCCTTAAAGGGAAAGACTTGATTATCCTTATTAGTCAAAGACGTTGTTAAAAACAAGTGAATGTAACTATAGTGAGACTCGAATTACTGCCTTCCAAAGTAGGCAAGGACCTAAGCGCTACTAGAGACAGAAACAAATGCTCGAGAGAAATGCAGTTCCATTGTTTTGACGTTTTCTTAGGCTTCGCCTCCTGAAATCTCAAAATGCCCAGTGTCTTTTATGAAGCTCCCCAAGGGAGATGAAAATAGAGGCTGGTAAGGAGTCTCCTTATGCCCAACATATCATTAACAAGGAGATTCTCCTCAATAAATACCATACTTACTAAACACAGTAAACAAATGTGGTTCATCACCAACAGCCAATAAAAACAACCAGAAATAGAGGAGCAGTATCATTTGCTACTGCACAGCAGTTTTCTACAATGTAGCTTGGAAATGTCCTAAAATAACGACAAAGAGTGATGGGAAATCAATGAGATCAAAATACATTCCTTTCAAAAGTCGATTTTTCAGTATTTCATTCTTCAACTTATTACCCTGTGGTTATATGTTTACCTAAGACAATTTATGGAAAATGGGTATCTTACTGTGACGCACTGTAGACAAAAAGTATTTTGTCGCACGGCGGCCATGTTTGAGCCGGCACTACGGAAATATTCTCTGTCCTTGCTCGTCTCGTCTGAAGGAAAAGACGCCTTTAGAAGTACCTTAGTCAAAGATTTTTATATCAGGAGACTCAAAGTGACTCCATCGGATAGCAAAACTTCACGAGCGTCTACAAGTTTTCGTCCTATTGATGTCCGCTTTATTTTAAGCCCGGATTCTGAGAAAAGTTTAACAAATAATTGAAAAAACAAAACCTCTAATTGCCCTTGGCTGAATCGTGTTAAGTCTGAGTAAAATCCTACATAACTTGATAAATGTAAAAGTAGCATTTCCTTATATCGGTTTTGCTGTGATAGTCTTCCTCACTCTTGGACACTAGTTTCCAGACTTTCTCCCGACACAGCTGATCCATTTTTGCTTCGTACCCATATTCTTGTTCAAACATCACATCCTCTCTTATTGTGAAGCTGACCAATCCGCCTGGCCTGACAACTCGTGCCATTTCATCCATGGCGCCTTCCGCCTTCACGTGGTTTAGAGTAAACACGCCAACGGCAAAAGCGACGTCATAGCAGTCGTCGTCCAACTGTATCCGTTGATTAGGACCCAGGACATCAACAAAGAAATTCTTGTAGATTCCTTTCTTTTCGGCTTCTTTGAGAAGGGCGTCTGACGCATCTAAGGCATCAACGTTGGTAAACTGCCTTTTACAAAGCTCCACTCCGACCAGCCCGGTCCCCGCACCAACGTCAAGGATTCTGCAATCTTCCGGAAACTCAAGCTGTTTTAGAGTTGTTACCAACCTTTCTGTCGCGGTTTCGTGTCCGATGTACCCTCTGTGAACTTTAACATCCTGTGCATTCAAAAAGTAATATTCAACAATTACGCTTCGAGGTGGGGTGGATAGAGGTGGATATTTACCGTACCGCGATGTGACAAGGCAAATATCCACCACTTTCACCGAGGAGGTTAATGCTTGTTTTAGCATATACCACGTGTAAAAGAAAAAAAAATTCTCTGCCAATATACCGAACAATGGTCGGAAATTAATCTCTTGACGCTCTTCCGCTGTTCAGAGGTATATAATACTTGGCCAATCACTATTCACCTGTGTGGTATATACTAAAAGATATCTGGTGACAGTACATCTAATGACATAGTGCGCGCACAAAGCCTACCTATTTCTTAGGAGCAACCATCGCAAAAATCTTTATGTATTGCACGGCCATGCATTCATCACTTCGGCTGCAAGTTCTCGTTGAGTTTAGCCGCAAGGTTTCAAACTTTTGAGATCTTCTCCCACTTTGTCCCGATTGAGACGGACCTTTCAGACTCAAGAGACTACAGATTCTGACAACACTCAGGCGAGATATTCAATGTGAAAGTTTATGTAGGATGAGTCAGCCAGTCTTGTAGTCTACACATCCTACTACAATCTGCAATGTACTGCAAGCATTCACTGAAACTGAAGGGTTAGAAAAAAATAGGTTGTGCTACGCCAGATACGAAAGACCACTAAAAAACCACTCTTTAGAAATGGCCAAAAAATATGTGGAAACGTATTCCTCATCTAATGCAGCAGCATTATACCCCGAGGAAAGGGTAACTAAAATAAACCTAGTTACACAACTAGTCACACAGAAAATTTCACAGAGAGGTGTAAAACAAATTACATTAAATAAAAAAAAAAATAAAGAAAAAAGAAAGTGATCAAACCTAAGAGTGACCGACGTAGAATGACTTAATTTTCCCCGCGAAGCGCTTAAATAATCCGAAACTACCGTGTTGCCATGCGAACCTCTTCAACGTGCGTCAGAATATTAATTTCTGACTAATTCGTTCTCATGTCACTCAAACGTCAGAAATTGCAACTCTTACTCTTCTCTCGTCCTGCGCTCATCCTTAACTCGATATACGCACACTAAGCATGGACCAATTCTTTGTTACACCAAGAAAAAGAAATTAAAAAGGAGAGAGCATTACGTAAAGTTACAATTATAGGCCACCCAGGGCTGTCACGCGGGGACAGAGGCATATGGTTTAGACACTTGATCAGATCTGCTCCGCTTCATCCTCACCTCCCCGCACTCCACCCAACTTAACAGTCGAGGTGAAAAGTAAGAAACGAAAATCCCTTCAAGCGCCTTTTGAGGTGACGACCAACAACCGGCCGAAGAGAAAGAGGTAAAAGACGAGTTTCGTTGATGAAAGGTATGGATTTGAACTCAACACTTTCCAACAACCACGCTCCTTTTATAAAACGGCGGGTTGAAAATATGCGACTTATCTTCGCTTTCACGTTGTCTTTGTATGTTGTCATGACCTTCACTTCAAAAACACTATTAATTAATAATTTGTTACAGCAATTGAATTAAGGAAGGATTTTGACAGAAATCGTTCGAGGTAACCGTTATCGATTCTTTTCTGTCGCCTTAAATGCATGATAGTCAGGTTTTCTTCTTTATATCATAACGAAATACCACCAGTAATCAAGCAATATATACATTTTTTTAATGTCCAAAACGGCTATGACTCAGAAATAAGTCTTTTTTCTATTCCCTGGAATATATTTAAGGAAATTATTTTTTAAAAAATCAAGCGCATGCACAAATAAACAGAAGCACTAAAGCTAAATCAAACGCTAGCGGAGTTGTTAAACGCACTATATGCATTGAGCGCATGCAAGTATAGAACTAAAGGCTAAAAACTGCACAACATAAGTAGTAATAAGGGTTGGAGCAAATTCGTCTCTATCGCGAAATGAACGTCTAAGAATCAGGGAAGCAGCCGACTGGAAATAAAATTGTCTGATTTCGTTTACCTCATCGTACTCTGAAGCAGCTTTCTCATAGCAAGCCATCAAAGCGTCATAAGCATCGTGCAAGCACAGATAAACAGAAGCACTGAAGCTAAATCATTTAGTTTTAGTGCTTCTTCAAAGGCTAGTGGAGTTGCTAAACGCACGATTTGAATTGTGTGCATGCAAGTATAAAACTAAAGCCTTAAAACTGCACAACATTAGTGAGGTTTGGAGCAAATTCGTCTTTATCGCGAAATGAACGTCTGAGGATCAGGGAAGCATCGGACTGGAAACAATATTGTCTGATTTATTTAACCTCATCGTACTCTGAAGTAGCTTTCTCATAGCTAGCTATCAGAGCGTCATAAGTTTCATGTTTGTTACAGCCATACGCCTCTTTTTCCATGTTTGATGCTAAAGCGAAGCGCACGCAAAGAAAATACGGCGTAGTTTTGCTTGCAAATAAGAAACAATGAATTGAAAAACCATTAACAGATATAGGAAGGAATTTGACAAAAACCGTTCGAGTTAACGGTTATCGATTCTTTTTCCTCGTCTTAAATGAAGGTCAGGTATTCCTCTTTGTATCATAACGAAATGGCGCCAGTAACCAAACGTTAAATTTTTTTTTAAACGCCAAAAATGGCTCTGACTCAGTAGTAAGTCAGTTGTGTATTCGCTGGAGGTTTCACTGGAAATTACAAAAACAAAGCAAAACAAAACAAATACATCCACAAATGAAAAGAAGCACTAAAGCTAAATCAAACTTTAGCGGAGTTCTTAAACGCACTATATGCATTGAGCGCGTGCAATTATGAAACTAGAGGCTAAAAACTGCACATCGTAAGTAATTATAAAGGTTGGAATAAATTCGCCTTTATCGCCAAATGAATGTCTGAGAATCAGGGCAGCAGCCGATTGAAAATAATATTGTCTGATTTCTTTAACCTCATCGTACTCTGAAGCAGCTTTCTCATAGCAAGCCATCAAAGCGTCATAAGTTTCATGTTTCTTGCAGCCATACGCCTCTTTTTCCATGTTTGATGCTAAAGCGAAGCGCACGCAAAGAAAATACGGCGCAGTTTTGCTTGCGAATAAGAAACAATGAATTAAAAAACCATTTACAGATATAGGAAGGAATTTGACAAAAACCGTTCGAGTTAACGATTATCGATTCTTTTGTCGCCTTAAATGCATGATAGTCAGGTTTTCCTCTTTATATCATAACGAAATGCCGCCAGTAATCAAGCGATATATATATATTTTTTAATGTCCAAAACGGCCATGACTCAGAAAAAAGTCTTTTGTCTATTCCCTGGAGTATTTTTAGAAATTATTTTTAAAAAAATCTAGCGCAAGCACAAATAAACAGAAGCACTAAAGCTAAATCAAACGCTAGCGGAGTTGTTAAACGCACTATATGCATTGTGCGCACGCAAGTATAGAATTAAAGGCTAAAAACTGCACAACATAAATAATCATAAGGGTTAGAACAAATTCATCTCTATCGCGAAATGAACGTCTGAGAATCAGGGAAGCAGCCAACTGGAAAAGATACTGTCTGATTTCATTTACCTCATCGTACTCTGAAGCAGCTTTCTCATAGCAAGCCATTAAAGCGTCAAAAGTTTCGTGTTTGTTAAAGCCATACCCCTCTTTTTCCATGTTTGATGCTAGAGAGAAGCGCTCGTAAAGAAAATACGGCGTAGTTTTTCTTGCAAATAAGACAACACGCAGAATGCCTATTGTTTTCGAGACATTTACTAGCAGTAGAAAAAAAATTATAGATCCGTAATATTAGCTGCGAAACGTATTCTAGAGAGCTTTGATTGGTCAAAGATTACGCACGCATTCCTCCTCAGGGAATATTGCTTTATCTCCTTAATTTGTCTAGGCCGAGCTAAGAAACAATAGCTTAGAAAGTTATTTTTTATGCTATTGTTAGAAGAATATCAAACACTGCGTGCGTGTGTTACAACCTGGAATAGTACTCTGTTTTGAAACCGTCTGTTATATATTCTTCTCTTTTTGTATCTTACCCGTTTAGGATTTGATTTTCTTTGAAAAAAATCCACCCGCACAATTTTCCTACAAGTAAGTCAGAGTAAGTCACTCTGAAACGATATAAAAGGTAAACATTGAGTGAAGAGTGAACTTATGCATTAATTAGTTCTACCGCCTAGGTAGTTGCTCTTTTTCGTCACCCTTGCCAATATATCACTTGGTGTTAGTGCGATCTCCTCAGGGTTTATTGTAATTTTAACCCACGTCTCGGCTCGCACTTTCTGCCTCTGTTTACCGCTTGTAATTGAGTCCATCTTGCGCTTAAATCTCTATATATTTTGCCGACTGTGCGACCAACGCGATCGCTCGAGGATTCATTGGTAAAATTTCCGCACAGCCCCATAATAAATTATGCATTCAGTTCTTGGATAGAGAT